CACAGCACAGGGGGGAGCAGGGCCCAGCTGCCCCAGCCCAGAGGGGTATTTTCTGTCAGGGATTTTCTCTCTGTATCTTCTCTCTGCACCCATCCTGACTCCACCACTCCCCTCCATTGCTTCAAGGCAGTGCAGGGAGCCCTCAGGGCCTCGGTGTCAGAGGCTGCTCACAGACATCTTGTTTTGCCTTCTCGTGTCACAGCTTGTCTACCGGAATAATTCCATTTTTTTAATGTTTAAATGCCTTTTTATACAAGGAAAAGGTGTACAGTGAAATCTCAGTAAATGGGTACTCAAGCATTCTGCTTCATAAGCCTGTTTTTATTTAGTTTTTTTGTTTAAATTTATTATGAAGACAAACACTTTCAGAAAGTCCATTTTTATTTCCCAGCATCTTTCATTTCTTTTGGCTGAGCACCATCAGCCAAATAGGTGTAATAAAACCACGGAAGAAAAGCAAATGCACAACAAGGAGCTTTACCTGGGCAGATGTAAAATTGCACTCATTAAAGAAGCACATTTGGGCATAAAATGCAGCTCAAAAACCTCCATTAAGAGCCTCCACGAGGGAAAAAGATTGCTTTGACCTTCAGAGATTGACGCAATGTGTGCTGTTTATTAATAGTTTTAGTAAGAAAGTATCTATACAGGGGGTTGTCTTGCCTTTTCATCAACCCATAGGGTTGATGAAAACTCCCTGCTCTTAGGTTGATGTCCATCAAAAGATTTTTTTGTTCCTCTGATGATGAAAGTAGCACTGTGAATGCTGCAGGACTCTGGGCTTAATCCCATCCACCAGCTTTCCAGAAAGGGAAGGATGGCTGCAAGGCTCCCAAAGGCTGTTCTGTATGTGAGAAATGCTCTCTGAAGCATGAGGGGCTTGGGACAACTCCTTGGGGAAGCATCTCCTTGTTTCCCCTCATGAGGTGTTTCCTGCCCTTCAGGAGGTTTTCTGTAATCAAGATTTTCCAGATCTCCTTTCGTGTTTTTGCTCACAATTTGTGCTGGGTGTAATTACTCATGCTGAGGGGCTTTGAACACCACTCTAAACCATCAGCAGTACAAACCTGTCTCTTTGCTGTGTGAGAGTTTCTCCATCCTTAACGAAAGTCAGCTGAATTTTATCAAACCACCCATTTCTCTTTGTTGACAGCACTCTGCTTGCCCAGGCCAAAAGGAGCAAAGCTGACACACAAAGAGGAGTAAAGCTGACACAAGAATGCCACTCTCAGGCCTTAACACTCACATTTAATGAGTCAGGGCCTGGGAAGGGTTTGTGATGTTACTTTTCACAGGCAGTGAGAGCAGGGCTTTGCTTTTTTCCTTCCCCATCCCTGGAAGTTTTCAAGGCTGCATTGGATGGGGTTTGGAGCAACCTGGTCTAGTGGAAAGTGTCCTTTCCCATGGCAAGGGGTTGGAACGAGGTCCCTTCCAACCCAAACCATTCCGGGATTCTCAGATCCCAGGATTCCTTCCCCAGAGCCCTTCCCCAGCCCAAGTGAGCCAGCCAGCAGAGGGAGCGCAGCACATGAGCTCACAAAAATAGGAGCCTGCTAAAAAAAACCCGCCCCAAACAAACCCAAACAGCAGAATGATTATGGTCTTTAGCAGAATAAACAGAATCGTCAGGAGGCAGAAGCTTTTCCCCTGGCAATGAGATCCAGCTGCAGGCTGGATGGGGAACAGGCACCGCATCTGGCAGCGAGCGAGTTCCTCCGGTGCGGAAATCCCTGTGGTGGCGATGTTCCTGTGTGCCACCCCTGCTCTGAGATGGGGTCCCCATGGTGAGGATGTTCCCCTGTGCCATCCCTGCTCCAGGGTGGGGTCCCCATGGTGAGGATGTTCCTGTGTGCCACCCCTGCTCTGGAGTGGGTAAATCCCCATGGTGAGGATGTTCCTGTGTGCCGCCCCTGCTCCAGGCTGGGTTCCATCCCATGGTGAGGATGTTCCTGTGTGCCACCCCTGCTCTGGGGTGGGTTCCCCATGGTGAGGATGTTCCCCTGTGCCATCCCTGCTCCAGGGTGGGTAAATCCCCATGGTGAGGATGTTCCCCTGTGCCATCCCTGCTCCAGGGTGGGTAAATCCCCATGGTGAGGATGTTCCCCTGTGCCATCCCTGCTCCAGGGTGGGTAAATCCCCATGGTGAGGATGTTCCTGTGTGCCGCCCCTGCTCCAGGCTGGGTTCCATCCCATGGTGAGGATGTTCCTGTGTGCCACCCCTGCTCTGGAGTGGGTTCCCCATGGTGAGGATGTTCCCCTGTGCCATCCCTGCTCCAGGGTGGGTAAATCCCCATGGTGAGGATGTTCCTGTGTGCCACCCCTGCTCTGGGGTGGGTTCCATCCCATGGTGAGGATGTTCCTGTGTGCCACCCCTGCTCTGGGGTGGGTTCCATCCCATGGTGAGGATGTTCCTGTGTGCCACCCCTGCTCTGGGGTGGGTTCCATCCCTTTTTCACACTCCTTGGCTGAGGCACCTCCGTAGTTCCCCCTCAGAGCACAGCAGCTGTGGAGGAGCCAGGATGGAGCTTCCTCTCGTGGAGGGTGCAGGCGGTGGCCAGGGTGACAGCAGTGTCACAGCTGCTGGGCTGTGGCACCTGCTCGTGCTCTGGCCATGCTGCAGATTTGGGTTAGAAGCTGGGAAGTTTGGGGCTTGCCTGCCAGCAGTGCAGTTCTGCAAACAGTGGGATGTGCTCAGCACGGGAGGGTGGAAGTTAACCCGCCTGTCTGTCTTCAAGAGGATGATAAATAAAGACCAACAGGAACTGGAGGTGCTCTCTGGGACTTCATCATCTACAAAAGGGTTTTTCCAAAGGTTTGGGAACCTGCCTCACCTGACACATCCTCCTTGTGTCTGGGTGTGGGGGAGCAGAGCTCATAGGCTGTGTGGCTGGTTTGTTTGGGGGGCTGCAGTAGCTGGTCCTGCTGGAAGCGTTTAACTCTGGGGCTTGCTGCTCTCCCCCTGCACTCCGCAGGGTGAGAGGCAGCTAGATGATTTCCCCCATATCCCTGCCAATATCTGGGCCCTCAATATCTCATTTACTGCTTGTGAGCTGTCTCAAAACAGGACAAACTGCACATCCAATATCTGGTCCTTCACTCAGAAGGATGGGGAGTTTTGATGGACTCACTTCAGCCAGGATCTGTGTCTGACACCAAACCATTTCTATAGCAGGCTGGTCATTAGCTGGAGCCCAGTGTTTGCAGGGTATTTCCATAAGAGCTCTGTAGCCCTTCAAACCAAATGCACTGCTTTCATTGTGGATTAGAACTGCAGTATGCAGCCAAGCTTTAGTTTTTAACAAGGATTTAAACATTTAAAATTCTTTCAAAGCTGTAAGTAAGGCTCATAATTTAAACCCTTGCAGACAGATATTGTGGCAAAAATATGAAGGCTATTTAAAGACAGTCAGCCTGCCTGCCTGTCCACCGATTTGTCACCTTCTAATCTGCCTGACACGTGCCATGGCCTTTCTCTTTCCAAACACAACGAGGCCAGGTCTGCACAGGCACGTGTGGAGTGACCTGAGCTTCCCCAGGGTCCCGCACACTGCCTGCCAGCTGCAGCCCAGCAATGGGAATGGGAAAAGGAAAGGGAAAGGGAATGGGCTGATGCTGATCACAGAATCACAGAATCACACACTGGTTTGTGTTGAACAGGTTTCACCCCCTGCTGTGGGCAGGGACACCTTCCACTATCCCCCAGGTTGCTCCAGCGTGTCCAACCTGGCCTTGGAATTTCCAGGGATGGGGCAGGCACAGCTTCTCCGGTGCTCAGCCTTGCTGCAGAGCAGCTGGGACCTGCCTGGATTGGAGGTTCAGCCTTGCTGCATGGGGAGGGCACCTGCAGGTTTGGTGGAGGAGTTTATCCATCCAAGGCATTCTTCCCTCTGAAGTCAGTGGTAGGAGGAGGAAGGCATCCAACTCACCACCAGATCCAGTTTCTTCTCTACTTGTATGGGAGCAAGCATGACACAGAAACTACGTCACTCTTTGGAATCAAGTGAGACATGATATTTCACTTTTTTAGGTGACCTGAGTATATTTTGTCCCCCCTGTAGAGAATTAAATGATGCTCAGCCAAGTCAATCTCTTACTTGGTCAGGCCTTTCCAGCTGCCCTTCATTGGACAGGGACCAGTTGCCTTGTATGGGAGCCACAGCTCCCAGAGAACCCACTCAGAGCCCTGCAGAGGTTTTTTGGGGAGGCAGGAGGGATCAGCAGCTTGGGCTGACAGACACACATCTAATTCTGGCAGTACAGAGGAGGGTAAAGGTGACAAACGGCTCAGGGATGGCACATCTCACTTCCAAGGCTGGATTTAAAGAGTGGAAAAAATGTTGTCTGGTTACTTGTCTGAAAAAGTTTAGGAAGATTATTTTTATGATATTTTTGAAGTCAAAGAACTGAGCCTAATTCTGTCTTAAGATAACCATTTTGGGGCTGACTGAAATGCCCTTTGTGTCAGTGGTGGTTGGAAAGAGAATCTGAGTTCATTTGGTGAACTTATATGAGGGGCTGGGGCATCTGAGCAAGAAAGTTCATTGCAGAAATTCTTAAGGCTCCATCCTCATGGCTGAAGGAGCATTTCTAGGAGCTGGACTGGTTTCTTTCTGAGAGATCAAAGTGCCCTGTGCCTTTAGCTTATCAAAGGGATTTGATTGTGGTGCTTGAGTTGTGCAGCAGTAGGCAGCTCTATGGGGCTTAGCAAGGATCAACATCTGGATACAAAATGCAAATGAGATCAAATTAGAAACCAGGAAAACCTTTTCAATAGTGTGAGATTGAAACAGCAGAGCGCTCTGCCAAGGGGAGCTTTTTATCTCTGAATAATTTTGAGCTATGGCTGATGACCTTTCTGCAGGTGCTTTTATCCATCACAAGTTCCTGGGCTCAGCACAAAAATAAATCTGAAGGGGGAGAAAAAATGCAGCAGCTTCTTTTGGCCTTAAGGTCTCACAAAGGTTGAAAAGGACATGGCAAACTAAACTTGCCTTGTGTTTCTGAGATTATCGAGAAGATAAAGAGGTTGTTACAGTCCAGGCGTTGCTGCTGACTCCCTGTCACGCTTTTTTGCTGGCTGAGGTCTGTGCTCAGTCTCTGCAGCCCATCCTTGGGTTTTGGGAGGGTTAATGGGTGTGTGCAGAGTGCTCTGGGTGAGGAGGGAGGGCATCATTTATTGCTGCAGAGATTGGAGACTCCCTGATGTGATTATAACGTGTAGTGATGGAGGCTATTTTTGTTGTATGTTGTGAATATTTCCTTGTATGGAATCACAAGGAGCCTACTTGTGACTTGCAGTTCTGTTGAAAGCTCCAGCCACAAGGCTCCCAAAGTCTTTGACATTCCCAAGTCAGTGCTGTATGCAGCAGCGTTAATTAGCCTTGGGGGCAATGCATAATATTGCTGAGATGATGATAATGGAAATGCCTCCGGGCTTTTCTCTTTGCAGAGGGATTGGACAGAGTGGCACCTCGGGGCCTGGCATCTTGTACCTGGAGTGAGCAATCCCCAGGGAAATGGGAGGAAACTCTTAATTCTTCTTACTGATCCAGACTGCTGCTCAGCAAATCCCCTCACCACTGGAGCTGCAGATCTGAAATGGCATTAAAGAGGAAATCAACCTTTTGCACAGTTTCCTCTTGGAAAGTGAGTGTTACTTCTAATTATAGCGATTGCAATGTTTCAAATGCTCTCCCAGGGACCGGGATGCTGGGGGTGGGGAGGGACAGCTGGAAATGCAGATATGTCCCCCCTGTCCACTGATTCCTGGGTGTTATCTGTAACAGGAGTGGAGAGAAACAGTCCTGGCCATGTCCCCACGCCACTCCTGGTGCTGGTCACCGCTGTGTCCCTGACAGCGTCAGCCTTGGTGGCAGAAACACTTCTCCCAAGTCGTGACTGCTTTTTAAAGAAGCTCAAACTGTCTTTTTCCCCCCGCCTCTTCCTCCAGCAGTTCAGTTCTGCACTTCTCCGGCTTCCTTCCGATGGTGAGCAGCACACTGTGAGCGATCCTGCCCCAGGCCCCAGGCCGGGCCCTCCTGCAGAGGAGCCACCAGCCACGGACGAGTTGAGCCTGCCACCTCCTGGTGACACTCTCCGGGACTGACCACAGCTTGCAGCTTTACAGCAGCACATCTTGGCTCTTCTCTGAGGCCCCTCGAGCCCCCTGACCCCAGAGATCTCTGCTGTTGTGGAGTTGCCCTTGTGGCTCTCCTGTGGGGTGTGGGCCTGTGGTTCCCCCTCTCTTGTAGAGGTGAGGCTCAGAAGCTCAGCTCTGTCCCCTGTGACGTGCTTGAGTTTGGCATCTGATGCTTTGAGGACCTGGATTTCCTGTGTGGAGAGCGCACAGCACACAGAAAAGAGGTGGACTTCTGAGGAGGAGGGTCCAAGTCATCCTCTGGAGTGTGTCAGGGCTGTGGCTGTTTGGCTCTGAGCCCTGCCTGGAGCATGTCCCAGTTTTGGCCACCTGTTGCCCTTCGGTGGCTGGTGCTGGGTGCTGGGGGAGCCTGGCTTGCCCTGGGAGCTCACAGAGCCATGTCCCTGCTCTGTGCTGTGTCTCTGGGTAATGTCATTGCAGCCACACTCAAATACCATCTCTATGGTGATGACTCAGGCATGCAGCCCCTCTCTGGGCTCTCCTCTCCCTGTCCAAATTCATATCTCAGAGGAGCTCTCTGACATCTCGTGAATGTCTCGCCACCCTTTCAAGCACAGCACGGCCAAATCAGAGCTTTTAACCTCTCCTTCTCAGCTCAGGGACTCCCTGAGCTCAGCAACACCAGGATGCTGCTTTGCTGCCAGAACCTGAGTCCTGGCTTCATCTCCTGCCTCCTCACATATCTTCACATCCTGGGCACATCAACAGCTTGCATAACCTTGCTAAGCCTTTCCTAAAGCTAAAACTCTCACCTTCTCTTTCATCACATCCCCCTCCACTTGTTGCAATATTCTTTTTTGTCCTCAACAAACTTGCTGTGGGCCAGCTTGCATCCACAGGGATGCTGTTTCAGGCATTGCTTCCCACCTTTCCTGCCTCTCCTCCCTCATCCTCTGGGCTGCCCTCCTGCCCTCTGCCTCCCCTTGATCCCACCCATGTCCCTGCCAGCTGCGAGGGCTGTATCCTCCTGTTAATTCCTCATTTTATTTCTAAATTGTAAACTTTGGGCTCACAGACAGTTTTCTTTGCTGCTCTCCTCAGCAATGCCAAGGCAATCAGGCTGCTGCATTTCAGTCGAGCTCCTATTGACTGGCACAAATGGGAAAACTCACTTGTGAGCAGGGAGGGGGGCACTGGATGTACAGGGCAAAGGATTTCCCCAGGCTCTCGTCAGGGAGGTGGCTCCAAGGCTGCCCATCCGTCCCTGGGGGACACGGGGCTGTCAAGGGCTGCTGGCAGCACTGAGCTGAGCCCTGCCAGCCCTGCCCAGCAAAGAGGTGGCAATTCAGGTGCCAATAAACACTCCTGGCTCCAGGCACAGGACTCAGCTTCTTCTTGCAGTTGTTGGAGTGCAGCTACCCCAGAGGCTAAATAAGGTTAAACAGGCCCCAAAATAGGGATTGGGAATGGGGGCTGCTGAGTGAGCAGGGTTAGAGCTTTCACCTGTGAGCACAGTGAGGCTGGGAGGATGAATTCTGCCTCAGGGTCTGAGCTGTCAGCTGCACTGGCATGGGGGACATGAAGGAATGCCAGGAGCTTGCTGCACTCTGGTCTGGTCCCCTTAGTGGGCAGAGGAGGCTGTTCCTGCAAACGTGCTGCAGGACAGCTCTGGACCAGCCTCTTGCATAGGAGACACCAAAGAACTGGGGCAGAGCTGCTGCTGTGTCCCAGAAAGGTGTTGGCAGAGCCTGTACCTGCAGTTCCCCTGCCAGCTGAACATTCATTTAGCAGGAGCAGGGAGCTGTGATGTGCCTCTGCTCGAAAGCAAAGGCTTTCCATTAATTTATTGATGCTGGGCTCCAGCCTCATCTCTGCTCCTGCAGATGGATGAAAGCAGCTCCTTGTTCTCTTCTGGCAGGAGCAGGGCAGGTGTGTGTCAACAGGAGTTTTTTTCTGACATGTGAGGAGCTTATCCTAAAGCAGCTCATTCCCAGGTTCCTCCTGCTGGTTCTTATGTGCATCCCTGGGCTTTGACATCCTGCATCCCCCTGAGCCCCCAGGCTGTGCCCTGACCTCTCTACAGCCCTCACAAGAGCTGCCCTTCTCAGCTGAGCCATCCACATGAGGGATAGTTTTAAAGTGGCTGCAGAAGAGGCACACTTACACCCCTTGCTCTGATCCTTTCATACAGGGAAAGGTTCTGTTCAGGAAGATTACACTGATTTTTTTAAAATTTAAGGATGGGAACCTCACCATTGCCTAGCTGTGCTCTTTCTTCATTCCCTAAATCCTCCCAGCTGGGATTTCTTCATTTTTGCTCTGTCTCCACTGGGTTTCATCTATGGCACGACAAAAGCAGTGTCAGGTGTTCTGTTTTTCCAGTGAATTCATCCTGTGGCCATGGCCTGCCTGGGGTTAAAAACTATTGCTGTCCTCTGGGCAGTTTGCTTTGCAGCAGAGAGCACAGCTCCTGGGAGACAAAAATTGGTGATGCAATCCCAATTTTGAAGAACTTGACTTTGGATCACATGATGCCACCCCAGAAGTCAGTAAAAGCACTGAGTGGGAAATCCCCTGAAGTTCCCAAATCCCCATAATGTTCCCACAGTGCTGCCCTGGAGGGGTGCTGTGGATCTGCTCCATCTCTGGGCAGGGAAGGGCAGCACAGTGTGGGCTGGCACTGATGGGCTCCTCAGGTCAGTTCTGCCTGCCTGGAATCACCCACTTCCCCAGGATGCCCTGGCTGAGCAGTGCCAAACTGGCTCAAACAAGCCCCAAACAGTTTGGATGGAGCTTTCTTGGCTCTGTGCTTGAAGCATCTTTAGTTATTATCTGAACCAACAAGGTCTTCTGATGGTGTCTTGTCATATTTACCTTTTCTCTACTAAAAAGGCCAAAGCAGAGTCCACAGGTGCTGAGCACAGAAAGCAGCTTTGCCTTGCTGTGCTGGGTGATGCAGGGCTCAGCCCTCGCTGTGTCACCCTGCCAAAAAAATGAAGGCCTTGCTGTTTCCACTGAAATTAATCCTTATGGGAATCTGCTCTCTGATGCAATGCTCAGCAGGAGATTTCTTTTTCCCATCACTCCGCTTATTTCAGCTTGAAAAATAAACAGAGGCGAAAAAGCAATAGACAGTAAAAATATCTGGGAGCTGCTGGAAGAGTTCAGGGTTTGCCATGTGCCCGTGGGGAGCGCCGGGTGCTGCCTCAGCTGCCGTTCTTCAGCACTGAGAGCCGAGGCAAAGACTCAACACCCTGCCTCCAATTCTGGCTCAGGATTGCATTAGAAATAATAAACATCTGAGCTCTGATTCTCAGCTGGCAATATCTGTAAGTGGAAGGGAATGTACAGGATGGGAACCAGCAGCCCATGGCCCAAAGGAGCAAGCAGCTGTTGCTGGGAGTGGGAAATGTGTGGAGAGGAAGAGGAGGGGGCTGCAGTGGGGCTGGGGGTGCTTCAGAGTGTGGGATGGGGACCAAAGGAGCCTCCTGGAACCTGCATTCCTCTGGGGACAATGGTGAGATGGAGGAGGAAGAGGAGGAAGGCTCTTATGTTTCTTCACTGCTTTGTATCTGGAATATATCTAAATCCTGGGCCCGAGCTTCAATTAGGGCCTAAAAAGTGCTTCAGTCCAGAGTGCTTGGCCTGAGGCTTCTGTTTGTGCTGGCCCACTGCCCACAGCAGGAGAGGGCTGGTGTCCTGGGACCTTGGGACCAGCCCTCTGAAGCCCATGGCTGTGGCTCTCCTGGCTTTGCTCTGCATCTCCAGGGCTGCTCTGCTTTGGTGCTCTTCTTCTGCCCCTGTACCTTTGCTGCTTCGCTGCTGGGTCCATCTCTCCCTGCCTTTGCCAACCCAGCACAAATCCCCTCAGTGATGGAGTCTGCATTTGAGAGGGTTTTTTTTTTTGAACTCGTCATCAGCAGAGCAGAGTTGAGTGAAGAGCAGGTTTCCTTGTTCAGTGGCTGAGCTAAAAACACTTGGGGAAAAAATCATGTGGGGTTGAGCTGAGATCTGTGGGAAAGGCTCCCTTTGGGTGTGCTTAAGAAGACACATGAGCTGCTGAGTACCTCCAGGAGCTGGGGCTGGTGGCCTGCAAGGCTGAGTGACCTTGCGCCTGTCCCCAGCCCCACGACAGCACTGTGCTGCCTCACAGACCCAGGAGGAAGAGCTCCACAGCCATGGGAGCTGACTCAGCCTTGCTGTTTGCTTTTTCTTCCAGGGGTTGTTCCTCTGAAAGCTGTTTGTGGCTCTTTTTCTCCATTTCCCTCTCTTCTAGAGGGCCTATCTGTCATCTCCTGAAGACCATCCCCAGTCCTGCTTCCATAAGGAACCCAGTGAGGTTTGATGTGTGAGATCAGAGAAGGCAGAGTCAAATGTCACATCCATGTGAGTTCCCAGGGAGGGAGGAAGGGAGAAACTCTGCAGTTGTTTGTTGGCTTCAGGATGATTAAAACCCAGACCCACACTCGTGGTGTGCTCAGGGCACACATGTGGGTCCCCACGGTGTGCTGGGCAGTGTGACCTGCAATCTGACAGCTCTAAGTGCTGGGGCAGGGCAGGCTCACCTCCACCTCCTCCTCTTCCCTGGCTGTAATTTCCTGCAGTGAACCAAATCATCATTTCACTGGAAATAGACGAGTAGCAGGAACAGGTCCTTGGGGCATCTGTCTTGTCAAGGGGATGGGTCAACAGAACTACTCAGACTCAAACACTGGCCATGTTTTGCCTCCTAAATGTGGCTCCATTCACCAAGAGGTGCATTCCTGATGAGATGAGCTCGAGTCAGGCAGCAGAGCACACTGCAGATAATAGCCTGAGTGAAAAACCAGCCGAGTATAGGAATTTTAATTAAACCTGACAAACCCTGAGAGGAAGAGGGAAGAGACAGAGACCAGCTGGCATAAAGATGCTGAGTAATCTGAGTTTGGTGAGTGCTGTTGACCTGCCGCAGTTTAGGAGGATGTGCATGCCCCTAGGTGCAGGGGCCAGCCACAGGTCCTTCCATGATGCTGGGTCAGGAGAGAAGCCAGAAGGAGCCCTGATCATGCTGTGCTTTGCACAAATACATTAAACCATCCTTGGCAGTAAATTGGCACCAGGATGCTGTGCCCTGTTTCTGAGAGCACTGAGATGATGGGGTATGAAGGGAGGATGGACTGTGCTGCTGGGGGATTTTGTGCCCCCTCTCATGATGCAGATGGGGCTGATCCATCCACTGCAGTCTCCAGGCACATTTTGAGACCCTTTGCCGTTTACCATGTACCCATGCCATGCTCCAGGACCATGCAGGAGCTGGGAGCAGTCCTGATACCTGGAGCCTTATCAGAGACCCACAGATTGGTTTGGGTTGGAAGGAGCCTTAAAGCTCCTCCTGTTCCACCCCCTGCCGCGGGCAGGGACACCTTCCACTATCCCAGGCTGCTCCAAACCCCATCCAACCTGGCCTTGGACACTTCCAGGGATGGAGCAGCCACAGCTTCTCTGGACATCCCGTGCCAGGGCCTCACCACCCTCACAGGGAAGAATTCCTTCCTTATATGAACCCTGTGTCAGTTTGATGCCACAACCCCTCATCCTGTCACTCTGTCCTTGTCAGAAACCCTCTCCAGCTCCATCGTCAGTGTGTGCAGTGTCCCTGGGCCAGGAGTGCTGCTGGGTGGGTGGCACAGGCTCTGCAGCTGGGCACAGTGTCTGTGGCATGGGCACAAACCAGGGAAGGGCTGTGGGAGCTCCTGGCTGTGCACAGAGCCTGGCTGCCCTTGCTGAGCTCTCTGGGGCATTTGACACACGGTCTGAGCCAGCTTTAAGTCCCCTTGGGCTATTAATGCAAACAGAAAGGCATTGGTGATACATTTTAGTTTAGCTGGAAAAGCCTTCAGAGCAATGCTGAATAAGGATTAAAAGGCCATTTAATCTATTTTTTTTGCCTTTGCAAACACAAGGAAAATTCAAACCAGCTGACAGGGCTGGTGGTTTTGAGCCAGTTGCAGCAGCCTCTGGGATTTCCTTGGCATGTTGGATCTGCCTGTGGGGAAAAGCTGGAATGAACCAGGTAATTTGGGCTGTGTCCTGGTGGTGTTGCAAGCAGGGGTGGCTGATGGGCTGCTCTGCTTTCCCTTGCCCTGTAATGGAGACAGTGAGCATTGTGCCAGGTGTTTTACCTGCCTGGGGTGAGGATGGATTCCTGCCCAAAGAGGAGAGCCAGGGAAACAGAGCTAAAGAAGGCAGGAGGGATGCTGGAAAGATGCATTTTACCATGAGGATCCTGCTGGCAGCCAGATACATCCCCAGGCATCCCTCCCCTTGCCTGCATGCCCAGCATCTTTGCTTGGCTCTGCCCTGGCAGATCCAAACCCTCCATCTGTCTCCTGGGCTGGAGATGATATCAAACCCATGTTGATGCTCTGTCCCTGCTCTAATTTCCCAGCTGTGTGTGTGTGGCTCTGGGGATCTTTTCCTG